TATTTTCTCCTCCTAAAATTCCCAATTCAGCCTATATGAGTTAGAAAATTTACATCTGATAGGACATACCTAATAAGCAGACTTCATAAACAATTCCTGGATTTCGGGGGGGGGGCTGAAGCCCCCTCAGCCACCCCCATAAATATACCCCTATCTGGTGGGTATTTTGGTACGATATTAAAGAGTGTTGAGATAATAGTAAGTTTTCGTTATTATTTAAGATGTCGTGGCTGTACGTTGCATTGCTGGAGTTTTTTTCGAATTATTGCCCGAGGAGATGAGCAATTGAAGATGGATCGGTGTTTAAAGATGAATTGGTGAAAAGATATATATATTGTTGAGTTTTTGCCGTCCATGTAATGAGCAGATTTTGTTCCACATTATGTTGGGATCAGTATGAGCATCTATTTTGGAGGTCAAGTTTCACCATGTTATGGTTTTGTTGCTTTTGACCAAGAATCTTGTTTTAGCTCAAAGTTCTTTTAATTTGATGTRGTCCTCGAGAGGTCTGGTTTTTAAAATGTTTTCAGTGCTTTATTTTTTAGAGATGTATATTGTATAATTTCATTGTTCCACCACGGAATCGGTGTTTTTTTGGCGGGAGGTTTTAAGTATCCGATTGTTTGTTCTGCGGTCTCTATGATGATCTTGGAGAATTTGGAGACTGCTTTTTCGATAGCTATATCGTTATCCATGAATTCAGACGAGTTGATTTTCGTTTCGAGAAGGTTTGACAATAGAGGCCAGTTAGAGTTTTTGAGGTTCTATTTTATTGTGGAGTAAATCGTTTGATATGCATTAGAAATTAATTATATACAGATTGGAAGTTGATGGCTATTAGAAATTTCATTTAATACTTGCCAGTGTAATATTTTTGGGCTGTGGTAGGTGTGGAGAACGTTAGATCGATAGCTGAGAGGTTTCTATTGGAGGGATTTATTCTAGTTTACTCGTTGTTGTTAAGTATTACTATGTTATATTGTTCCAAAAATTTTACTATATTTTTTCCTCTTGAATCGGTTTTATAATATGAACCCCATGTAACACTGTGGCTGTTGAAATCCCTGACAATAATGAAGGGTCGTGGTAATTGTTTGATAATATTTTCAAAATCCGTAAGTGTAAAATTGAATTAATTTTGAGTGTATGTATTACAGAGGGTGGTTTTTGTTTCGATTGTGATTGATATTGTTACAGCTTCTATGTTTGAATGGATAGGGTTTTCTTCTCAATGAAATAAGTTATTTATGAGTTTGCAGACACCACCACTTGCCGTCAGACAGCCTCTACGGTTTTTAATTGCATATTGGTAGTTATTTATATTAGGTGGAGATTCGTCAAATTTGAGGTTAGTCTCTTGAAGACATATTGCTATAGGTTGGTGTAAGTTTATTATTAGTTAAATTTCATCGATATTTTTATAGAGTTCATTAAGGTTCCATTGAATAATGTTTTTTGGTTATGTCTGCATTTCAATGTTAATATATGGTGATTTTTTAGATATTTGATTTCTTTATAATGAAGAGAGATTGCATCTTCATAACGATATCGGATGGATGTTACACACGTAACGTAACTAGATATTATACAACATAATATTTCAATAGGTATGTCGGTATGTGACAATTAGAATTGTATTTACAAAATATTATACAGCAATACTATTATGGTATGCATATAAAAACTACTCCTTAAACCTTTTGCAAAAAAAAAAAATATATTTATTTAAACGATATTATATAATATTATACGTCTACTTCTATCTTGCTTATATCATCAACAATTATCAAATGGGTTATATTACGTGATATATTTCATATACAATTTATACTCTGTAGGTATTTCAAAAAACACTATACCTAATGTTTTGAAAAATGTTTCTTTTTCTTAATTTTAAGTCATAGAATTTTTTACTATTTCTTATCGTAATGATTTCTTAAGACATTACTTTTATAAATGACAAAAAATTATTTCATATCATGTTCCAAAGCAGAATATCTTATTATAATTTATAGTATTACCTATACGTATATAAATAAAAAATGGAACCAGTGATTTATTATAGGTMAATATAGAATTTAAAGTTTTGATGAGCAGAGTAGTGAATATTTTTCGGGATCCTGCGCCGCTCCACTGACCACTCTTATGAACTTTAATTATAAGACCCGCCGCAGTGCCGTCCTAACCACCAATAACGCCCTAGGGCAACAATATTTGACGTCCCTCGGGGACCCTCCCCTTCCCAAAAAAAAATATTGACTTCATATTTTTAATTAACCACTTACCTTAAATATGTTAAATACTTATTCATTAAAGGTTCATGCTTATTTTTTCATTATTATTATTGTAATCTTATTTATATAAATTAATTTAATTTGTTTTTATGATTTTTTGAAGTTGACACTGATTTTATTATTCTGAGTACATTATAGAAAGAAATATATTATCACTATTTACATATAACAGTATATCCAAATAAAATTATAAAAAATCTTTTTATTCATAAAGTACATATAATTATGAGTTATTTATAATATATTWACATAAATATTCAAAGTACTTTACACCTTTTATATTTATAAGAACAAAWAATTAATTTTAATAATTTTAAATGTTTTAATAACTTTATAACAGGTAGATATAATATTTTACAATATTTCYAATATTTRAACATTATGTATAAACTTATTACTTATTTGGGTTATAAAAAAGATTTTTCCTAGCTTTAAGTTTTGCAAACTTTTCCACAATATCATTCCAATCTATGCTTAGGACCACTTCATCTTCAATGCTTAAAATAGATAATTCCGATGTTTTTTCATTTGCCAAAGATGAACGTAAATAATTCTTAACTCTCTTGAGTAGGTACAGAGAAAGATCTTTCACCACTCGCGTTAGAGCTGCATGACATACAAACAAAAATTTTAAGGGCAATTTCAACATTAGGGAAAGTCATATTAAGTGTTGTAGATTCTACATTTTGTACAAGTGAATAAGCGATGTTTATTTATAGAATTCAGTCGAACCACTGTAACCCGATTTATTTTTACAAATGGGTAAAATTGATAATGAGTTTATTATACTATTATAGTATAATCATTAATCAATGACAATACATATAGTGATATTAATGCATATAAAGTGTACATAAAACATAATATCATATCTTTGGGTAAGAAACTAATACCTATTATTAATATTAATAATCATGATTCAGTCAATCACGGTCGGACAGTCCAGTGTCCACAGATAAGATAATATTGATATTGATATTTATATATTATTGAAGGCATATAATATAATTTACCCTTTAATTTACAATATTTGWTAGGTACTTATCTTCGATATTACAATATAAAAAGAAAATATTAATATCTAAAATAAAAACACCAAATTGTCTTTTTATTATTCATTTTATGACGCCCCCTAAGTTCATAATACTTTTGACGCCCTAGGGCACTTGCCCCATT